CATTAGGCGGTAATAGATTAGTAAGATGGAAATTGCGCAACTCACGGATGATGTATGTTTGATATTCTAGCCGCATCTCGCCAGTATCGATGTCCCCGTTTGATGCAGCCGTTATCTGCCACAGAATCGAATCGACCCTTTATGTACCACCATTACAAGCTTGACGCGCTATAATGTCTCTATATTCTTTCTCGATGTTCGTGTTGTCTGTTTTCTCTTTTCTCGATCTGTGAAATCGTGATTTGTCGAGTAAATGAACTTACGATTGTTCCTCGATCGCCTCTGAAAGCTGGAAAATGTTGCATTACGAAAACTCGACGAGGCGCGTATGCCCATAGACGATTGGTTTCCTTCGTATAGTTGATAGACGTAACGCATGCACCATGTAAAGGGATAAAACGATGAGAAATGCAGAGTCGGAAGAGTTATGTGCCTGCTTTTGTTAATCAAGTTCCTCGCTGCTGTTCTCTTTTTTCCTTCCGTTTGATTTGTCCAGCAATTACTTCTACGCCAGACACGCCAGAATACCGTGCACGGTTCTGTTTCTATCGAATTGTTCTATACAGTCGACAGCTGTCAGCGATGCTGTGACTACCGCATCTTCAGTGCCTGCGTCTATCGATGCGAAAACAGCGGTGGTTCAGTCGGCCACGTCGGTTGTATCTCATCAGCATTCGGTGATACCTTCCGCCCTGTCTCGAATCAGCGAAGACTCGCCGAAGCCTTCGGTTCCTCATCGATGCCTGAATATCGCCGGCATCGAGAAATATCCGGATCTTCAGGGAGCACTTCCAAGCGCTTGGAGCGTTCCCGCATTGGCGCCGCATGTCCGTGCTCATCTCGAAGCACCGTTGGTTCGTAGATTCTCGACTTCTCTGTAACGTGTCCCCGTTACGATGTATCCCCGTTCTGAAGGAATCCGATCTCGTCGACAGGTTCAACAGGCGGCGTTCGACGATCTGTTGTACGAGGTCGACGTAATGAGAAACATTGCCACGCGTTACGACGAGCCGAGAGAGAGCCCCCCACCTCGAAGAGCGAGCGTACCGGCAGTTGCTTTCTCGCCCCCTAACACGATGCCCAGTACACCCGGGGGCGAAGAAGAGGAGGGAGCGGTGGCTGGAAGGCTAGAGATCAGGGTCGTGGATGCAACGGCTGGTGCTACCGTCGTGCAAACGATCGCCGACAGAGAACCGATACAAAGTAAGTGTCGAGATGATTTGGTACGTTTACGTGTTCGTGTGCCCGTTTAACTTTTCCGCCTGCTTCTCGCCTCGTTTGCATCGTTCTTATCGTTCGCATCGACCATACTTTTGTCCATCTAGCCGAAATAAACAAGCTTTTCAGCAATCGCAGACTTCGATTCGCAACCATTTTTCTTCGTTCAAAGTGTTCTATCGGCAACGAAGAAAACAGTTTTGTGATTCGACAGGAAAAATGGCAAACGGTACAGTGGATAGTCCAGCTGGCCCTAATCCAGGATCGGAAGAGTCGTCGGTATATGACGATGCTGTTGAGAATCGGCCACCTGCCGATGCTGTCGCGCATAAGGATAACAATACCACCACTGTCTCAGCCGCTCTATCGAATATAGTCGCCACTCGTGAATATAAGGACAATAAAGAAAAGGAAGCTCCATGTAGGATTTATAACACTGTCAGTAAAATACCGGTCCCGGTTAAAAGTCCCAGATGTTCGCTATCAGAGTCCACTCCAGAAATGAATACTCCGAACAGCAGGACTTGCGTGGGAAACGAAATCGAAAAGTCGTCCACACCCGCGGCTATAACCAGGGAAAAAGATGCTAGTTAGTAAGACTTTTTTTTCGACTAAACCGTAACCGTACGATTCTCTTTGAAATAACGTTCCGTTCTCTCGAGCTGTTTCGCAAATTCTCTTACTTTCGAGCATTTCGATGAAATTCAGAGTTCGGTAACCGAAACAAAGCAGCTTCTCTTTCGACACACTCGACATTTCGAATCGCACACAGTGTAGCGTCAACTTTTCGAAGAGGAAGGTTTCTCTTCCAACGCTCTGTTCGTCGATGCGATTGTCACTGAAACACGAGAGTATCAGTGAAACGAGGCAATGAAATTTCATATCACCGTACAAAGGAATTTCATTGGTTTCAGCATCGATCGAATTGCTGTGGAAACAATTGCACCGCGTCTTGCGCGTTTCTTTTATCTTTAGAAATAACATACAATATATATATATACATATATACGTATATATTGAGAAATTTCCAAGCACAGTCCAACACAGCAGGCCATTCGGTGAACTTTTCGTTTTCTTTTCCGATTCGTGTACGATTCTGGTTCAGGGAAAAGTGTACAACACAGTATCCTTGTGCTTTTAACCGATAAGCAAAAGAAAAGTGCAAAAACGCAAAAAAAAGTAAAGAAAGTCGCAACAGTGCGTACACGTAGAAAGCAAGAGAGCGAGAACGAAAGTAAAGTATAAAGTAAAGTAAAGTAAAGTAAAGTAAAGTAAAGTAAAGTAAAGTAAAGTAAAGTAAAGTAAAGTAAAGTAAATTAAAGTAAAGTAAAGTAAAGTAAAGTAAAGTAAAGTAAAGTAAAGTAAAGTAGAGTAAAGTAAAAAAGGAAAGTAAAGTAAAGTAAAGTAAAGTAAAGTAAAGTAAAGTAAAGTAAAGTAATGTAAAGCAAAGCAAAGCAAAGCAAAGTAAAGCAAAGCAAAGTAATGTAAAGGAAGAGAGATAAAAGAAAGAAAGGTGAGAAACGTAAAAAGAGGAGAAGGAAATGGAAAGGAAGGTCTCCGTTTGGTTAACCGTATTTGTTTCGGAAGCTCATTTGTCGCAAATAATATCGCAGGTATAGCTTCATAGCGATACTAACATTGGCAAATTTTAGCTATCAAAGGCAAACCCTTGACAGCGCACTGGGAGGCCCGGGAACTACGACGCTGCGCAACGTTGCCCGACGCGCGACCGATCTTTTCACCTTTAACGTCGGCTAACTCAACGGAAGACGAGAATTTAACCGGATGCACTCCTGCGTTACGTCGCCGAAGGCAAAGCGAGAAATACGTGACGGATGCTAGTCAACTAAATTTGCGATTCCAAAGACCACAGCGCAGAGTCAGGCCGAATTCCGAAATACTGTCTCGATTTTCTCCCAGAGGAGTACCTTCGCACCTACTAGGTGAAGCTGCCAAACAAACGGAAGAGAGTAGCGACAACGATTCCGATAGCAGTGGTCCAGCACCGAATACTCAGCCTCCGCCGCCACCTCCCACATCCTTGCCACCTCACGTTGCAGAGAATAACGCCAGGTACGGTTTTCCCCCTGTTTTCTATCGCAATCTGTGATTCTCTTATCTTCTCTTCTCTTCTCTTTTCTCCGCGAGAGACGCGTGTTCGGTGTTGGCGCACCGCCCCGTGTCCCCCGTGCATCGTTATTCACCGATCTATCGTTCCTGTCGCAGATGCCGCAGATTTCGACCTATACCAGATGCAACAATTGTTAGCCGAGAGTCGTGAGATACAACGTTCGCGAATCAGAAAATCGGCCGTTTCTTTGTATTTGTATTCGTATTTGTATCGAAGTCAGCAGAACTTTGCAGTCTGCTTCTTGAATCGTGCGAAGCACATCTTTCTTTTCACGTGTGCGCAAGTCGTGCGCAAGGAAGCATGATTTTGTCAATTGGAATGTATGCTGTAAAATAATCGAGTCGAGAGAAAGAAGCTTTCCTCGGGAAAGGAAACGATCGAAGAAAGAGACCCGGTTCGCGAGAATTCGAGTTGCTTCTCTCGACGAACAAGCAATTCCGATTGTTCGCGAGACCGTCTGAATACGTCTGAATACGTCTAAGCACGTCTGAGCACGTCTGAGCGTTTCAAGGAAATCGACGCAACTCGAGACGCACCGTCGTCGGGGTGTGTACGTTACGTTAATCTGTCTCTCGTTGTCAGTCCATCCGTGTGTTGAGCGCATTATTTATTTTCGATGCAAAAGTCTATCGCTAAAGGCGGTTATGTGAATTGGTGGTGCTTCAAAGATTATACTTCCTAGTCTTTAAATGCGTCCGATGATATAAGAAATATTAACGACTATATGTAAATGATGCACGTTACCAAGTTACAACGTAATAACGGCGTTTTCAAGAGATATCGAGAAAGACGGCGAGAACGCATTCTTCCTCTACACTTTTCTTTCTATCTCTCTCGTCCCTCTGTCCGTAGAACACTAGAATATCGTTTCTTCTGATTTCGCGAAGCGTCCAATTTCTTTCGAGGTCCGCGCGTGCACCTCTGCTCTCGTCGCAAACGTGTTCTCGATTAGCGAGCTCAGTTTCCTCTTTTGCAAATTTCACTCTGGTCAGGGATCCGATGGATAAGCTGGAAAATCGTTCGAGAACTTGTTCTAGTGCCTTCTGTTCGGTATTTTCTCAGATTGCGTTCCGACACGCGCGATTCGCGTGCTCGTTGGAACCATAAACGTTCGCATTCGCGCGTTTACTGTACGTACACACGTGTCTCTGCCTGTGTGTCCGGAGGAACAAGATTTCTTTGAAAAACCACCAACCTACTAGGAGGGAGGGGGAGGTTCATCGAAAACGATCACGAGAGAATTCGATTCACGGCCAAGGAAACGGTTAGCATCGTGTGTGTGTGTGTGTGTGTGTGTGTGTGTGTGTGAGCGCGCGCGCGTGCCCGCGTGCGTGCGTGCGTGCGTGCGTGCGTGTCTCTCTGTGTATCGACGAATCGTTCGCTGAACATCTCTGCGGGAGGATGAATTCGGCTCGGAACCACGCGACAGACATGCAAGTAAACAGAGTACTCGAAAAAGCTACAGTTAGATTATATATAGTAGAATTACGCGTATTTGTCTTGCACTTCCCGGTAACGTGATTTTTCCAGACAGTTACGAATTCGCAGTGGAAAGGAATCTAGTGATGCATCAAACTAGTCAAGTAGAGTCCTCTAGTATTCTATTACCGAAACCAAATTCGCGCATAGAGTTATACATATATTGTACTTGTACAAAGTAGTTAAGGGTTTATTTTGTGCAATGGTCGATAGAAAACGTTAACGATACGATGAGAAATAGCTTTAAGTTGAAATTGCGAAAAATTGCGAACATTCATTTGCGTCGTAATATCGTGTACTATACACGCAAACGAAAGGATACCGAGTTACGAACACGCGATAGAAACTATTGACTGATCCGAGTCTCTATACGAGGGGGTATGAATCTATGTATATGTACATGTACGTATACTCTTCTGTACGTATGTTGTTACGATTTGGACGGTGCGCAATCGGTTCTCGAGTCCCGCGAGATTGCGATCGCAAAGTTTGCTCTGCGACATAATACAGAAATAATAATGCAACGACATTAAGGCGCAAGCGAGTCAACTCTGTATAAATCAGTAATGGATCTGTAATCAAAGATCAAATGTATGTTCGAATGTAAACAAACACGCATAATACAGCTCATTGGACGTATCCCTTTATTATTTAATTTTCTAATGGAAAACGCGCGTAGAATACTTGTACGAATATCGTTACTTTGGCTACTTACTACTACTTACTTACACGCACCTTCATGGAAATAAACAGAAAGTTTCTTTTCTTTTCTTTTCTTTCCGACAAATTCAAGAGGTGAACATTTTTAACGAGCGATTCGTTGAGAATTATTCTGTGAATCGCATCCGAAATATTTACTTGTCATTAGCTCGTATCTCTCTTAACGCTAGCAACACGAATCTTGCGTCGAAACGGTTGAGCGCGCGCGTATGCGCATATCCGCTGCAGTCTACAATAGTCCACAACGGTCTATAATGCTCTCTGTAACGGTCTATAATGGTAGGTACCAAATGGATATTCGATTACGTAATTGGCAACGCTAACGTACCCACTGTGCAGCCCTCGCGTCAGTTACATCGACCGCCAAGCTAAAAGTGCAGCGCCACCTTCTTAGGCAATATCGGATTTTCACGTTTTCATATTCGTTTTGCTACTCGTTTCAGTGGGAACATTGTTGCACATTACCTATTATTACCGCATGAAATATCGGAGCATACCAATCAGATAATTCGATTATTCTGCTTCTCTCGAATCGTCATTCAACTGCGTATTGATCCGCTGTGCTGGTGCAATTGTCGTTCAAATACCTGTCTTTAGGAAGAGTATTGAAAACAGTGTACGTAAGTCCGCCGTCATGTAAATACCATTTAACATTTCATGTTACGAGTGAATCGAGCTACGAATTCCGATATGCGATACATTAACCCTTTGCACTCCGAAGGTAAAATTGTAAAATTGTAAAATTTCCTATTTAACATCGAGTCTTGAGTAATCTGTCGATACGTGAGATGCGAAAATAAATACCATTGTTCCCTTTCTTTGTTAATTCTGCGATTAGATTCCTCGTTAAGTTAGTTGAAAAAAATCTCATCTATATCTCATAAAAATAAATTGAATATTTCTCGTGAGAAATTTTTCGAGTGTAAAGGGTTAAAGCATTCTAACCTCTTCGATCGATCGAGTTTTATCAAACATCACATACGACCACGACCTCTGCAGTGGGCGAACTGTTTGCTTTAAAACTACCGAGAGAAGAAAAAGGATACCGCATTCGTCGATATTATTCCATTTTACAACAAATTTATGAAATATCTCCATGTCGCATTGTAATTTCAGAAAATGTGGATGTTTTATATGAGAAGTTTCGGCAGATACGTACAAGTACCAATAGCGTGTGTAATCGGTTTCATCGGTTACCACATAGAGGGATTAATTTCTGATCGTTATACACCTGCAACGGCACCGATACAACAACAACGCGACGATAGATTATTGGAAGACATCGAGTCCACGTCTAGCAAGAAAGCACATCGCCCGTTAGAAGTCAATCTACCCCCTTCCTTATCCATGTAGTATCAGTTTAATGCTACACGTTATATTTTGTATTTTACAGTTTATAGGTTATAGTTGATATTTTATATTGAATTTGAGGCATAGCTCGATGCAAGAAACTATGAAAAATTTCTTAGAACCATGTACGGGTTTCATAAAATATTTACAATTCTAGAATGTCTATGAGTTCCCGCGAAAAGTTGCTTCTGCTCTTTTCTTACGTCGATACGCCAAATTTATATATAACATTATGACGATAGATTTCTCCTGGTTCCAATATACTATTGGGAAAGTTTTCCTGTAATAGTTTATATAGGATAATTACATGTAGACCTTCTTAAGCGTATCAAACTCAAAGTAAAATATCTTACATGATTTACAGCATCCGGATAATCCTGTGTTTCTAGGCAAAATGCTCCATGCTTAAAATATTCGGCTTTATCTTTTCCTTGTACACCGGTACTTCCTTCGGCGGGAAGGAAATTGGCCGTATAAAATTGTACACCAGGCTGATTAGAATAAACCTCCAAATATCTTCCAGAAGTAGGGTGTAAGACTTTAGCGACAAACTTGTTCTTGTCCGCAAAGATATCGCCGGTGAGGCAAAAATTCGTGTCGTAACCACCACCTGGCACTCTATCGATCGCATCTTTCAGCACTGTTAGGTTTCTCAAATCCATTACAGTGTTCTCCACTGATCTTATTTCACCCGTAGGAATGCCCTCCGTGTCGGTGACTGTCCAACGATCCGAATTTAACATGACCTCGTGTTTATACAGTTCAGTCGCGCCACCCTTCTAAAAGGCATAACGAAACTTTTGAAAATATGCTATAGAATTGAACCTGTCGAGCATTCACGAGAAGCCAAAAATCAAAGAAATATCAACGGGATTTGATTGTTTTCGATCGTTGAACGCGAATAATCCCTCGATAAAATCCTTGATCGTGACTGATCGTGGCCGATCGAGATTCGACTGTACCGTTATCTGCCAGTGTGAATCGAGCTCGACAGGTACAGATTAATAAACGAATGTAATACAAGTGCTTCTTTACGCACATGACCAGCTAGATTGAAGTAACTATGATTAGCCAAATTGATTGGGGTAGCTTTGGTAACGAAAACTTTCATGTCGATGCATAATTCCCCGTGAACGGTCAGCCTGAAGCTGACCGAAGCTATAGCAGCACCAGGAAAACCTTGGTCTCCGTCCTCGCTCAAAAGAGACAAGACGAGCCGATCGTTCCGAATCGTAGCGTTCCAGATTTTTGAACTCCAACCCTTAGAGCCACCGTGAAGAGTGTTTTGACCGTTGTTTGCCGACACATGATATTTCTTCCCGTTCAAAGTAAACGCTGCCTTGCCAATACGGTTCGCGACTCGTCCTATCGTTGCACCGAAATACGGATTTTTCGTAGATGAGTATCCTGCGAGAAGACGCAACATTTTCCAATCGTTGAAAGGATCAAGGAAACACGCGGAACTAGAAGAAAATTTATACCTTCCACTGTGTCGAAGCCTAGAACAACGTCCGCTACGTTACCCTGTTTATCCGGTGTTCTGATGGACGTTATCGTTGCACCATATGTTATAATATCCACTTCTTGGCTCGCATTGTTTCGCAGCGTATATTTTTCGATATTTTGTCCGTTCAAAGATCCCCATTCGGCGACCGTTATTAGTTGTTGCCCGTTCGAATCCATCATGATCGATCTAAATCAATACGAAACGAAGAAAACCTGTGGTCAGATTGTGTCGTTGTATCGTTGATTTTAACAAATCATCCGCTGTGCTCTCCGCCTGCCTCTCGTGTGTCGACTGTCACAGTTGACGAGATAAAATTCTATCGTGGCAAGGGGAAGCGTCCAGTCGCGCGATCTTCTATACCAAGAACGACGCCTCGTTCTCGTGCGATTATCTACGCGACCGCTCGCATCGAACCAGTATGGACATTGTTTGCAGTTTTATTATCGGTTTTATCCGTTTCTCATTTATGTCTCTATGTACATCTGTTTTTCAGTTGTCAATCGCCGCGTATAATCGAATGAACCCATCGTGTATGTATATATCTATCGAACCGAGTCTCTACGCAAACTTGAATATCTTAAACGCCTCATCGTTTACGCGCGTTCCTTTTCGTTAAATGAATCAAGCTTACCCGAATACATGGAGAAGGATTACTGTTTTCAAATGAGAAAATCGCATATTGTCGAGATACTCAGGCTCGGGAAACCTCTAAATAAACGTTTGCGTCCGTTCGTTCCTTCTCTCCTTTCCTTTATACCGTCTCTCGTCGATGTACGCGTTGGCAAAGAAGCAATTATACGTATGTACGTGTACGCACTTGTGTCCATCGAAATGACCTTCGCAACTCACCGAGTAGATAGATATTTTCATACGGGAAACATGAAAGAATTAAACACAGACGGTAAAAAGATCAATTTATTGAAATACATCGTTACCCGTTATTCGAATACATATGCTTTCGACAAAGAAGAAGGAAGAATTTATTCAACTTTCATTATCATTTGAACAAAATAAATACTTACTTTGTACATCGATGACGTCACGCTCATAATTTCAACGAATGCCCAATCATTTGAACACTGGGTTTAGAATGATAAGAATCCTCCTAAATTGAACGCATTAATACTTTTCTGTGAAATATATAACAGAAAGATGGTAACATTTGAGTTAACATACTCGATAAATGAAATAAAAGAAATAAAACAAGGGTGCCCACGGGCACTCTAGCGATACCCCCCTGGCGAAAAATTATCTAATCTATACCTACTTGTATTTGTCGTACCGAGTAATAGAATCGCTCGCAATTTGCCAGTCTCGGGCAGCTCCTTGAGTAAACATAGTGGGGGATCGCTGTTTTCGGGCGAGCGGAGGACGTAAATTAGACACGACTCGGACACCACAGACTAGGCGTAGAATAGACATTGCAATCTCATGGAACTCGGGGTGTCGCATCTTCCGAATTACCGACTGTGTCGAAGTCGGAAGTTTCGTTCTCTGCCCTCTATGCCTAGAGAACGGTGAATAGGACAACTACGCCGAACAAAATGATCAAAGTCGATACGACAGGCAACCCCGAGAGCACGCGATTCAATTTTCTTTTGCACGTTACGCGTCTATCCTATACTTGTTGTCTGTGCTTAGACGAAAGAGATCGAATTGTCACACGTCAGAGGTTGTTCTGTTCGAAACACGATTGAATTATGATCGTGCGATCGATTATTCGTTCTTTCGATTCTGTGGAAACTTTGTCAAGTTGTTTCTAATCTTTACGGGTTGAAATTCGTTCGTCTCATCTTTTCGAAAACGAACATTTCCGACGGTGTTTAGAAAGAAGAGCTAAATATGGAGTATGCTGACAATCAACAGATGAATCAATCATATTTCAGTATGAGTACGTAGCTGAACAAATTCCAATCGTAACATATAACCTAAAAACGAACGTTTCTCGAACGAAACTATGTTGTCTTTTCCAATTTCTATTTAAACGTAATTTCATTGTTTCAGTATTTGTCTATTTGCCTGTATTTTATTAACAGTTTTCGTGTTCACCTTACAAATGGAAGTAAAAATGTTACTTTCGACATTGTGCATCGTAGATTGTCATTGAACGGTTCATTTGAAATGTACAATAGTATGAAATATTTTCATTTACATTTAATGATATCTTGAAAATTTCCCTAGTATGGAGTACTGTTGCGTCTGTCGGATGGTATATAGTTGCTGTCGTATTTTCCCTTTGGTACGCTTCGCCATACATACGAGAGAAGTATACGAGTTGGAAAAGGAGAAGGGAGGAGCAAGAGTATGCTGCAAAATATCATAAAAGTAAACAAATCAAATGAAGAAATACGAACAAGCGAAGTAGCGCATAGAAAAATAATGGTATACTTTCGACGCATTTAGATCCTGATCTATTGCAAGAAAGATTAGTCGGTTTCGAAGCTTCGAGAGAAAAGATGCAACAAGAGTACTACCAAAAATCCATGCTAGCGCAAGAAAACAAAAAGGCGGCGAATAGTTTGTCAAGATCGTCGAAAGGAGGTAAATGCACGGCGAAATTGTATTTTTCTCGAATTAGAAGAGAAAAAGGTAAATCTTATTCGTTACAGATTATCCATTGATGGGGCACAACTCCCGTAGATATTGCCCACCGGTGCGTAGTTGCTGCGGAAAAGATCGGTGCGGATAATTCTGAATACAAAGTAACGGATACGACGGTATATAAAATGTTCTTTTTCCTTACGTATGCGCGTATTCAACGTGTGTCTCGCATCAGTCGCGTTTGTTTTGCAAGGAAATATTGCAAAAGTAACCATATTCGAATGATATATTTACCAGTTACTCGACACTCGAAATTCGTTTGATACACGATCGAAAGATTGTAAATGGGAGGATTAAATCTCTATAGATTAAAGAATTCTGTATTTGGTATTCGATAGAATTCAGTTATTTCCCTGATTCCGGTAATCTTTGCTTTCCCCCTCGCACGAAAGACGCTATAGACGCTTCGAGAGATCGAGGAGAATGGAATTTTGTCGGCGAATCTTCGATTGAAACGAGTTGGAGCTTTCAACGTAATGTTTTTTTTATTAATAATCGTTACTCGTATATTGTGTAACGCTTTCGTATATCTTATACGCCTTATACATACGTGTATGTAGTACTTGACAATAATGATCCTTATTCTGTATTAATTATCTACAGTTGTGCGCGCGAGTCTGCGTGTTGCGTACGTTGCTGTTTCATATTTATTGATTTTGTTCGCATTCTTTCGACGTTCTTTGCGACGATACGCTCGTATTGGACAACAATTCGCATTTGTTCCGTAATAAATAAGTTATTGCCTACAAAAACGTTTCCGGATAAACGTTCGTTCCCCTCTTTATGCGTTTTATTTACAAAATGTAAAGAAGATTTAAGCTAAATCATCACTCGTCAGCCTTCGGGTTCCGATTCAGACTTAGGAGCTAAAATATGCAATCAAGGTGGTTTCAACTTATTCAATTGGGATATTCGAATCCCTTTGTCAACACGGATTATTCGTTTTCTTCCTTTAAAAGTTAATGATATGATGCGATCAATGTTTCGCTGCTGTAAAATATATACCGACGCTTTCCTACGATACGATGAAATTTTTGCATCGACCGACAGAATGTTGGATTCGTACTCGTATCGATACGAACATGTAGTCTCCCTCTCTCTCTCTCTCGCCTCGAGAGACTTGGCCATATCGTTGATTATTATTTCTACCACCATCATCGCCATCGTCATCATCATCATTACTATTGTTGTTGTTGTTGTTGTTGTTGTTGTTGTTGCCGTTGTTATAATTATCATTATAATAATTATTATTACTATTTTTATCATTATTATTATTATTAGTAGTATTATTACTATCATTATTATTATTATTATTATTACTACTACTATTGGCAAGCAGCAGGTCCGATGAACGCGTTTGCGAAATCATTTCCGTATGCTTCGTTGAACCGAGTTTGGGACCGAGTTTATCGTTCAATTGATGCCTACCTAGACAAATCGGTCGGGGATTACATATAATTTGGCTATATCGCGAACGGAAGAATAGCGACGCTTCTCGTGATAAACGCACCGTGTACATGGTGTTTCGATTCTCGTTGGGTGGTTCAGCGACAGACGCACGGTAGTCAACGAATGAGAGCGAGTACAAGAAGAAACGGACAAACGTAGGAACGATTCAGCCCGATGGTAATCGAGATTACCGATTAGAGCTATGCCGGCGAGAGGTAGGAAATGGGTTCAGATGGAACGATGGAACACGGGTTCGGTACGAGATTGTTGCGTTACGGTTGATGCTAGCCGACAGAAACCAAGAATGAAGCTACGGGAAAGTTTCCCGGTAAATTTTCGTTCGACTTGCGGGCACGACGCGTTATACATATATATATGATACAACAAACTGCGAGCCATCGCAACAATCGCGCGAGATTGGAAAACTATAAAAATAACGTATTACTTTGTTTCTCTCGCAAATTGTTAGGATGGTTCGACGTGAAGTGAATGTCCGTTTTCTCGCATAACGAAGATACCGTCGACTCTCGTTCTCGAACGAATTCTCTCCGGTACCCCCAAGTAACTTGGTTCTTACTGTATCGATCGTGTTCTCTCATACCACGGGAAATTTCAATTCTGATTCTATTTACAGAGCCGAGGATGTGTTCTCTCTTCCAGAGACGCGAGCCTACGTGTCTAGAACGGCGGTCGTTTCTCTTAGCAAACTTGTCGAGTGAAATTTGGCAAACTCGGCGTACCTATACACAGTCGAGATATAGACAGCTTCGTCTCCCTCAGCCTTTCCTATGCGGAGACAGTTCTGGATACCGTAACCATAAACGTTACTTAAAATACGGGTTCTACGTGCCTATGATCTTTTGACTCGAGTTCTAATCTAAACACGCTACAAAAAACGAGAACCTTTTTATCGGTTAGTCGAGTTTTTCGCTTCTCGCTTCTCGCTTCTCGCCTCTCGCCTGTCTGGATGGATTACATTCGTGCAGCTACTTACACACGCTACGAGTCGATCAATTTCACTTACGAACTCTGTCTCGAGCAGCTGATTTACAGCAAGGTTTATCTTTACCTTTTACATTCCTCTACGTTTAAAGTCCGACGAAATTTATCATAATATTCGGCAGTATTCTCGGTGATCTCCGGCGGTCTTTTCAATTGATAATAGACCTTTCACCGTTACCTCTATGTACTAGGGCAGTTTTGCTTACTCTTCTTTTTCCATTCATCGAAACGTTCAAATGTTCAACTAATTACAAGGGACTTGAGCGATCATCAGTGCGAGTTTCCTTCCTCCCAGTGGAAAGGCTTGTCTCGAGTGCCTACGCGGCCGTATTCTCGACGACGACGATCAACTTTCAATCGGAGCCGAACGAAGGGAGAGTCTCGCCATTGAGCAGTTGGAGATTTGGTTGGCGATCGTCGTCGACGTTACGCGCGACGCACGATGCCCTTTTCGGCAGAATCAACAAATCACAGACCAGAAGCGTTGTAACATGCGACGCGACGGGGGCAATCGGAAAACGCGGATCAATATTATTACGGTCTCGTCTGGCTGAACAAGAAAATTCTGTTATCGACGTCAACTTTCTTTCAGTTTCTTTCAGTTCAGGAACGTTTGTGTCGTTAAAAGTAAAACACTTGTACGGAACATCGCGGCGAGAATTTCGAATCTTTCTAAAATAAATGCCGCGCCGGATCCAACTGTTCACGAGTGTATAGTAATTGGAAAGTTTACAGCTCAAATTAGAAATTATCATCTACTCGCTCCACGAAGAACAATCTATACAGATATACCGTTTTCATATGTGCGCATTTACGCTTCTCACGCTATAATTCGTATTTATTTATTTATTTATTTATTCATTTATTTATTCATTTATTTATTCACTTATTTATTCACTTATTTACTTATTTAATCATTTAGACAACGTTCGTTTTCGCTCGCTCATCTATGTATGTATTTTCTCGTTTCGTATTCAACGAAAACAACGGTGAGATCGTATCGAGGGTAAGGTAAAGACAAAAATGTAGTATAAAAAGTGTCGACGAAACGACCAGTGAAACGTTGATATTTCTGGAGCGGGCGATGTCACCTTCGCGCACGCTGGTAATTGCATACGCTACTTTGAAAACAAGGAAACGCAGTCTCCGAAATGCCATTGAAGGACACGACTCGAGACGCGGAGAAGCAAACGACAGGGCAAGAGAATCGAGCGACCTACGTCGCGGACACATGACCGGTTCGTTAAGCAATTGGTTCGTACGTTCGCAACGATAGTCGAGAGTCAACGATATGGTTGTTCCGTTAATCGTCGTGGAGATCCGTCGATCGACTACATTCCGCAGGAGGAGCGTTCGGATTGTTACCTCCTACAAATACGTTGCTCAACTTATTGTACCTTTGACTTCCGGAACTGCTGACCGTATTCGAACCCGTGGAATTGTGTTGGGAGTAACCACCGATTCTGTTGAAGCTAGGCACTTTGTCTGTCGAGAGATAAACACGGTTTGACAAGAGATCAGTGTGATCGATCGCCACGCGATCAAGGACAATAGCAATGCGACACTAACCTTTCCCTCGATTATGCCTCCCCCTTTCTTGCGAGCCGATACTTCCGGGTTGCCTCGTAGGAATACAAGAGTAATTACTCTCACCGCTGCTGTACGTTGGCGAAGAATTTCTAGTATTTCTTCTGCGCGGACTTCTGCCACTTCTGCTTCGAGATCCGGATCTACCGTGAAGGCAGTTTGCCGACGTCGCGGCGAACTGGTCGTTGTACTCGAGCGTGTTGCCGTAAAGGCAGCTCGATTCGGAACAGGAGCAACAAATATCCGAATGCGCGTTCGAATCGCACGACTTTCTGTCCCATTCCTCGGTTTCGGGTGAATTTTGATAGAGGTTCTCGTTCGGATAGGACTCTTCGTCGTGTCGCCGATACATGTTTTCGTTTACAATCGACTGCTCGGAACGAGAATCGGTACGATTCACGCGACAGTACGCGCTGGAATCGTAATCTTCCAACGGTGAATCGTTTCGTTGCCCGTACACGATCGAACCACTCTCGTATTCGTTTTCTTGGTTATTACTTTTGTACTCGTACCGTTCGAATCCCTGCGGAAGAGCAGGCAATGCCGGTGGATTAGTCTGAGGAGGTAAACTCGTGTATCGGCTTTGCGGATGAACATTATTCGTCTCTGGAATGGATCCGTCCAATAACTGCTGCTGCTGCTGCGACTGATGGTGACTCGAACTGTTCCATACTAATCCCGAGCCGTTCGCGTTGTTTGCTGTTCTGATCGGTGGACTCGGCGGACTTTGAGAATTCCCTGACCCGGGGCCAGAGCCGCAACCGGATCCCGACCCGGACGCGGATCCGGAACCCGAGTTCGAGTTCAGACCCAAGCCCAGCCCTAATGCTAATCCGGAACCTGTCATCGATTCTAAATCGTTTTGTCTGTCGATGCTCCTTTTCCCGAGGTGAGGGCTGAACGCCGTTTGATACGGTTGTTGCTGTTGTTGCTGCTGCTGTTGCTGCTGCTGCTGCTGCTGCTGCTGATAGTGATGTTGGTACTGATGAGGAAGTTGTTGCTGTTGCTGCTGCTGTTGCTGTTGATGGTGATGGTGATGGTGATGATGATGATGATACTGGTATTGGTGCTGGTGTTGATGAGGATGCGAGTGCGCTCTGGCGGAACCGAGCGATCCTTCGAAGGAGGGCGGATGATCTCGAGAAGGCGGTAGCATGTCGTACCAATTCGTCGGCTGATTCTCGTTTGGTAGTGGCATTCTGAACTGATGAGTCCGTCGGTGCGATTCCGTGTTGTCCTCCCCGTTGTAAATGCTGCTCGCGTTGTCGCTGCACGGCGAAACCGTTGATTTGTTACGATCCAGATTCGAATCCAAGCTAGAGTAATCCGGCTTCAAACACGAATCGCTCGAGTTCGACTTTCGACCGCTGGTTTCAACCGATTCCGGGCTACGAGTTGGCATGCAAAGCGTGGTCGTGGCGTACGGTTCTGGCGGAGCTTGCAACTGTTTCCTCGTGTTGTAAAACGTCGTTAAATTCACTTCGGCGTATTCCGAGCCTGTCATTCCAACGATCCCCGGTGGTAGGCCGATTTGATTCTGGTTGCTGAGAAGCTTCGTTTCGCAGTCTTTATCGGTGGCCGAAGCCTGCAGAGTATTGCTGGGTCTCCAACCGCGTTCCAGCCACAGAGTGTCCTTGTTCAACTGGCAAATGTCGTTGGCTGTGCCGACGGGGACGTTCAAATGGCCGAGCTGTTTGCTCATCGCCTGCCTCCTTCGAATGTAAAAGATCCCGAGGAAAGCAGCGATAACGGTCAGCACCACCGTAATCATCAGAACTAAAAACCAAGTTTCGCTAATAACGGAAGCACTTCTCTGACTCGGATCCGTTCGCGGTGGTAGCTGTGTCAACTGTCCTGGATCCATGTTCAGAACAGTCGGATTGGAAAATGGGCCGAGTCCCGCACGAGTTAATCCCGCGACGCGGGCGGTGTAAAGACCTCCGGTCGTTAAACTGTTAATAATTACCGAAGTCGTGGATGCGTTTAAAGACATCTGACCCAAAATCTTGTTGCTGTTGTTGCTCTTGATTTGAATCTGAAACGAACGCATTCGTCAAGAATCTACGGAGACGCTCGCGGAGCCTAGCTTTCGAAGGAACGAACATTCACCTTGTACCCTATTAATTGCCCGTTTTGCGTGTTCTTCGGCGGTGGCGACCAACGAACGAAAGCCGATGTCACGTTTATCATGCCAACGTGAACGTTTTCGGGCGCGCCGGACGGCATGTCCTCCAATGTCGTGGCCAATTTCACGTTGCTGGGTCTGCCTTCGATAGTTTTGAAGAATGGAACCAGAAAGAACTCGTATCGCGTGTACTTGTTCAAGTTTGTTAAAACGTGGCTGGTCGCTCCAGCGTTCAGTACCGTTACCATCTGATACTCTGGTTTATCGGAAACCTCCCGGTATCGTATGTACAGACCTTCGACCAAGTCTGCAGCGCCGAGTATCTGTGGAACATTCACGTATATATATATATATCTCCGTATGAATCGCACACCGACAACTACGCACTTACATCCCATATGATCTTGACGCTGGTGCTGTTCAGAGGCTGAACTTCTTTCAAGTAGAGAATCTCACTGTTCAAACGATCTCTCGCGCGTATTAGTTCAGTTTGGGGAATTATCCGTTGTTGATCGTGACTGCTGGTCCGTGCAACGTCCGAAAGAGGTCCGGGAAGTGAAATACCTTGACCGTTTCTAGCACGGACAAGGAACACGTAATTGGTGTCAGGCTTCAGGTTCGTTACCTGGAGAAAAAGAGGGGGAGAGAGAGGAGAGAGAGAGA